CGTTATTTTTTCTCTCTTTATATATAAGTTAAATCTATTAAAATATCTTTGAAACATTAGCTCAATTAGTATTATAAAAATCGTTTTTCAAACACTCAGATTATTGATTTAATTGGTACCTAGCTCGTATCTTTGAAATCTATATTTTTACTTTTTTTACAGTAACTATGATTATCTTTTAAGATTTGTTAATTTCAATTTAAAGTCACTATTACTAATAATAAATCTAGTAAGTAATGCACATTATGATTTTGTTTATAAGCATTGTCATCAAAATTGAAAAGTCATACCAACGACAAGTTGGCCTAGTGGTTAAGTCGTCTTTCATAATTCGATTTGTGTTGGGAGACGTCTGCTCTCTAAATGAGACTTAAGGGGTGTATTCAATTTAATATTTGAGAGAATTTTGAAGGATTTTATTTTAAATGAGTGTTTAGATGATTGAGAAAAGTTATTATGATTTTAATCAAACTACTCTAAGGATATGGTGTATTCAATATAGTATTTGACAAGTTGTAGAATGAGATAAAAATGTTTTATTAAACTCTTACATATTCCTTTTTTTTTTTAGGGTCAAAAAACTCTTACATATTCTTTTGAGTGTAGGATTCAACCAACAGAATGAGATAAAACTCTTGCTGGTTTTGACACGTTGGGAGCCTATATTTCTTGGCTTTTACTCTCTCAAAAAATGTTTTTCTAGATTAGCTTGACAAAACCAGCAAGCTAGATGTTTAGAAGTGTTTTCTAATGCAAACAAAACCTTAGGATGGGAGGCAAGTCTTTAGAAACTTAGCAGCAACCTACTGTTCTCAATCCTCCCTACAAATAAGGCACCTGAATCTCCTTCTTCCTCAAACCTTCCACCTCAAGAAATCATTCGCATCACACATCAAACACAATGGCCTCCATGGACGCAATTGACCGCCCGACACCAACTCCAGATCATGACACGACTGTAATAGTAGTGGTATTTGTCTCTCTGGGCTGCGTCTTGTTCCTAGCGTTTCTAGCGTTTGTCATCTGCTTCCTGATCAAGAAGAAATCCAAGAAGCACTCTGAGAAAACTGAGGCGGTTCGCGTGGATGAGCACTTTAAGATGAAGGAGTCCATAGTCGAGGGACCTCATGGATCCGAGGCTGTGGCGATATCTATTGAAGATGATGTTCACATAGAAGACATGACCAGGAAAGGTGAGAAGGAAGTGGGGAAGGACGGTGCAGTGGGATCATCTCAATTCACCCGTTCGTAACTGAGCCTCAGTTTATAAGATAATTGCCACTTTGTATTAATATTCTAATTGTATCATTTGTTTGGTGAAATAAAAAGCATCCGATATATTTTAAACTTGAGTTGGTAGGGGTTTGTGCATTATGATTTATGAGCAAAGGTACAGATTTGTGTGTAGCTAAGGGGAATTGAAAAGGAAAATAAACACCATTCTAGATTTTTTCACCACTAGATTAGGACACACGTTGATATGTAGGTAAACATATTAAATTAGTAATCCTTTGAATTATCAAAATATTTTGATATACTATTTAAACACAGATCTTAAAATCATTAGAAATCAATTTATAGTTTAATTATCGTGTCCTATTTCATATTATATCGACCTAAAACTATTTTAAGGTTTTCTAAAACTTAAGTTTTGAAAAGCTCTCATATGCCTATCTTTCTTATTTATCATTTTAATTTAATTTTGACCATTAATTTAGTCCAACCTATCTTAATTTCAAGTTACAAATTTTCTGAACTTATTAACCTATCTTATTTTAAGGTTTCCTTCTTCTTCTTTTTTTTCATCTGAAATATTATATTAAACACCGTAGAATACGATTTTGGAATGCGTTTTTGGAATACAATGATAGATTATATTGGAGGATCCACACCGGGAACCTCAGACGAAATGACAAATCCTAAAGATCAAAAGACCAAACTATATCTAGGGAAACAAGCTAAAACCAAAGTTAATGACCAAACAAGCCTTCCACCTCCAGCAAAGCTAATTGTCTACCTTCCAGAGAATCCCTTAACCTTAGAACCACTGCTTCGAATCACGACATCGAGGGAGCTGCACACTTACACGAGGCGTAGTCACCAAGTCCCGAATCCAAAAACTAAAGCCAATTAAGAGTGACATGAGCCAATGTTTAACCAAGAAGAAGAGATCATCCACGAGCCAGAAAAGAATCCAATCAAATCCAGAGTTCTTCGTATTGATACACAACCCAGAACACTGAGGCATGGAGTTGGTATGCATAAAGCCAATAGAAGAAATATATGGACAACATAGAGATAGGAACTAAACAGCAAGGCGAGGAGAACAACCTCAAGAACACCTTCTTCACCATTATAGAATCACGCTTAACGAACAACACCAAATGGACACCATAAGCAGGACTAGGAGACAAATGAAGGCCAAACACAACCAACCAACCGGAAAGGGGAAAGAGCGTAGACCAAAACCACGGCCATTAGCTCTCCTAAATAAGCACTAGTCGATCGATGAAACTACTAAAGAGATCTTGAGTCGAATAAGAGAGACCTCAAAGACCAAGTCGGCAAATAAAAGCCTCCACCACAATCACAACCAACAAGGACAACGATTAACAAGACTAAAAATCACCAAGTCCCAAACCACGTCGATTCCAAGTGACCAAAGCCCAATCGATCCAGCCCTTCTAACTGCCAACTACGGAAAAAGAAACAAGTACCTGAGAGCACCATCACCTAGAGCAAGAGAGCCAAAACCCTTATTCAAGCCAGAACAGCAAAGCCTCGCCAACAACCAAGTTCTGACCTCTGAACCACAAAACGATTAGCCGCTCCTCCAATAGACCAGACCATCGGACCGACGAGAGGAGAGAAGCATCGTGTAAGACCCCTCCCTCATCAGATCTTGAGATCTTCCACCCATGACCCAAAAGAAGTCATCATCAAAGCTAACACGGACAGAAAACAAAGAGATCTAAGAGACTATACTCAACCGACGGCAGAGCTAAAGGCGCCTCCGACCATCGGCCGAGCCAACAACAAATCGCCTTTTTTTTTCTCCTCTCCCAGCAGCGGCGGCTAGACAATTTTTTTTTTTTTTTAGGGTTTCCTAAAACTTAAGTTTTGAGAAACTCTCATATGTCTCTCATAATTTTGACATGTGTCTTTCTTAATTATCGTTTTAATTTAAGATTTTACCATTAATCTAGTCCAACCTATTTTAATTTCAACAGTTACAAAATTTTCTGAACTTACTAACTTATCCTCTATATATCAATTGAAGAGACACTAAGTGAAAATATCATATATGTCATTCAATGAAGATTTTAAAAAACACATAAATTAAATTAACCAATCAAAAATTCTAATTAATTTTATATGCCATGTTGAAAATCTCTACATATTTATATTAATTTTTAACATAAACTCACAAATACATATGTAACTAATTTAAATTCAAGTACAATATATATTTCAATATTTTAAACGTTATATAACATAACGTATATAACATTTTGATGAATCATTTATCGATGTCAATTACTTTATAAAAATTATATTTATGTCTATTTGGATACTATATGTGATTGATCATACAATTAATTTTTTTTATAACGTTAATTGTATCCATATAACTGTAAATAAAATTACACTTTTGTTATAAATGTACAACTTTACAAATTAAACATTAATGCTTGAATTTCAAAAATCA